AATTTAAAATATGGGTAGAACAAGAAAAATCATAAATCTAAGCACCTAAAAAGTACTAAAAGCTATTTTTGATATATTTATAGGACAAGAGTGCTCATATCCAGACTATAAAAGGAATTTCAATTCAATAAGAAAAAGCAAAAAGCCCAGTAAAGACATGAACACAAAATACATAAAAGAGAGAACAAAAATAGCTTCAACATTAAAAGAACTTGAAAGTTGTCACTCCTGTGCTTACAAGAAGAAAAAGGTGAATAACTGACAAGAAGTTTTCCTGGATCCATTAGAGAACTGATTGCAGGGCAAACCCCCACCCCAAAATCTGGAGAGCAGGCAAATTTGAGAGTCACAGTTGAGACCTATTTACCAGGAACAGAAGCTTATAGAAACAAACTGTTAGGAACATTTACATGGAAAAAAAATTTTTTTTTTGGTACCGGGGATTGAACTCAGGGGCATTCAACCACTGAGCCACATCCCAGCCCTATTTTTTAATTTATTTAGAGACTGAGTTGCTTAGCATCTCACTTTTGCTGAGACTGGCTTTGAACTCATGATCATCCTATGTCAGCCTCCTGAGCCACCGGGATTACAGGTGTGCACCGCACATCCAGGTTACATAGAAAATTTTAAGAAATTGCTAGATGTTGAGTGGAGGCTAGTTTGAGAGTGAGAAATACATGAGGGCTGTAGTCTTAGCAGACCCCCCACACCTCTATAGGTTTTACATGCAAGAACCCCATCAGGTTCTTACTATGAAGATGTGAGAAAGGTCCCTTCATTACTAGCAAGGACATTCTGAACTATACCCAGAGTGCTCTTAGTAACAAAAAGCCTTCTTTAAGGAAACAAGACTTTACCTGTTTCTATAACTTATTCTTGAATTATTAAAAAATTATACATATATGTATATTAAATATATGTCATATATACCTATGTCTACCTATCTATATATTACACATACACAGACACTGAGAGATCAAGAGACAAAATGACAGCAAATGTAGCAACTAGACAACCCAGGTAAACAGTTTATAGGAGAGTTCTTTGTACTATTAGAACCCTTATGTTATAAAGTAAACTATTATAAGAAAATAAAGGAGGAAGAAGTAATGTAAAGAGCCTATACTGTAGAATAGGAAGACAGGAATGAAAATTAGGAGGAGACCCAGCAGTCTTCATTCTTACAAATGGACAGTGTTCATGGAGACACAGAGAGTCACAACAGTTTGGAGATGGAGTTAAAGCAAAAGAATCCTATAATGGTGGTCCTGACTTATGATGCAGTGTGTGCTATTCATTTAAGTTTCTTAAATGATTATCTGCATGGGTAGAAGCTCTTATAACCCCCCAAAAGAATAAAAACAAGAGAAAATATTAGAGCTGTATTTTTACCATATTTAATTCAATTCTAATACTCATGTTTTTTCATTTTAACCTCTCTGAAATTGTATGCATCCTAAAATCAATGGAATATTATAGTTTAATTGGTTGTGGTTTTTTTTAGCAGTACATAAATAACAGTGTATCTTATAATTAGTGCTATCTTAGATGAATGCAATATATTTTTTTATTTTATAATATATAATTTTATATTTTTATATTTTACTTATGCCAATGTTGCTGTGGTAACAAAATCACCACAGTCTTAGTGGCATAAACAATGAAATTTACTATCTTATATATAGTTCTGTAGGTCGGGTCAGAAGTGCAACAAAGGTGTCAACGAGCAAAAATCAACATGTTTTGTGTTTCTTTATTGAGGCTCTAAGGGAGAATTGGTTCCTTGACCTTTCCATTTTCTAGAGAGTGTGCTTGGGTCATGGTTCCCTTATTTCCTCTTCAAAGTCAGCAAGGATGCATCTTTAATCTTCCTTCCAGAATCATATCTCCCTCTGACCAGTCAGAAAAGTTCTCTGTTTTTAATGACTCATGTGATAGGACTGGATTCACTTGGACAATCCAGTGTTATCTCTCCATCTCAAGGTCATTTGATTAGCAACCTCAAGTCCCTTTTGGCATGTTATATATCATATTCACAGGGTCTAGGACATGGACAACTTTGGAGAAGGCATTATTCTAGTCACCATAATAGTGATATGAAAGTAATAAAGGAAGCATTACTAATGTTCTCATTTGGCTATTATGTAATAAGATCATTCTGGGGGCTGGGGTTATGGCTTAGTGGTACAGTGCTTGCTTAGCACATGTGAGGCACTCAGTTCAATTCTTAGCACCACATAAAAAAAACAACCAAAGGGCTAGGGCTGAGGCTCAGCGGTAGCGCACTTGCATGGCATGTGTGAGGCACTGGGTTCGATTCTGAGCACCACGTAAAATAAATAAAGGACTATCAACAACTAAAAAAAAATTTTTAATTTTAAAAAAAGACAACCAAAACAACTTATTGAAAAAAAAATGACTTTATGACTTTAAAAAAATCATTCTGGAAAGAAAAATCTGAAAAACAAGTGATATCCAAAAAAACAAAAAACAAAAAAAAACAAGTTCATATCCAAAATATAAGGTTCCTGATATGAGTACCAGAAAATGTTATAGAATTATGGACTGTGGAGTATATTAATAAATGTGTGTGTTACATAAAGACTGTAAGCATTATGTCTGTGATGTCATGTAAGCTGCAAAACTTTAGATACCTACATACAAAACTTAGATAGACTTAAGATAGTGATGTAAGAGTCTACACCCAGGCATAGACCCCAGAACTCAACCAGTTATCAGCTGCAAGCACAACCAAACTAGGACTTAAAAACCCAGCCTTTTGGGCCCAGCGGGACTAACAGGACAGAAAGACCTCCATCTCTATTGTCCCCTCGGCACCAGACTTCTCTGGCCTGGATCGAGTTCCAGCAATCTGGACTTAAGACACATCATAGGTGAGCATGTGTTAGAATTAGGATGTGTGTCTGAAGTGTGATGAGCATTAATAACACAGATTTGGTTGAATCTAACTGTGTCTCAGACTAAGTCTGTAGAAACTGGTCATGAAAGTAAGCCAATTACAAAAAGACAAATACTGCATGATTCTACATATTTAACTAAAAGAGTCAAACTCTTAGAAACTGAAGATAAAATGGTGGTTTCTAGTAGAAGGGGAGGGAGAAAGGAGTTTTCAATGGTGTAGAATTCAGTTTTATAAGATAAGAAAGTTCTAGAGATCTTTTGAACAGCAATGTGCATACAGTTAATATTAATACCCTTAAATGGCTAAGGTGGGCTGGGTGCGGTGGCGCACACCTGTAATCCCAGTGGCTTGGGAGTTCAAAGCTAGCCTCAGCAACTTAGCAAGGCCCTAAGCAACTTAGTGAGACCCTGTCTCAAAATAAAAAATAAAAAAGTGTTGGGGATGTGACTCAGTGGTAAAGAGCCCTAGGTTTAATATCCCTGGTGAAAAAAAAAAAAAAAAAAGACTAAAGAGGTAAATTGTGTTTTATTGTCATGAGCCTTCCATGGGCTGTGTGTGTGAACTACTGCACATAGTAGCCTCTTGAGGGGCTAGGCTGGCACCAGGAGCTCCTTGTCAGACTGATCACATGATGCAAGTGCGCCTCTCCCTCTAGCTCTGCCTAAGATCCCACACAGCGCCTGAGTGTGACTCCCCAAGATGTCAGTCAATCTGCTGGTCATAAGACATCAGGAAGCAAGACTCCACCCCTGAAACCTTATCCCCCTCTGAGGCCCCGCCTTTAAAATAAAGGAAAGTGGGGGGGTCTCATACTCTCTCTGCAGCACTCTTTCCAGCATGGAAGCTGACCCTTAAAGTTGCAAAGCTGTCCTGCCCTCGATTTAAAAACTATTCTCTGTACTGTGTGATATTTCACTGCTTTCTTAGCTTAATATTGCTGCCAGGGCTGGGGATGTGGCTCAAGTGGTAGCGCGCT